TTAAATCAAGAATAGAATTTAAAATCCTCCTTCTCACATACAGTATAAAGCCTAAAATGGCCAAGCTCCATCTTATATCAGAGATCTGATTGTTCCTTATGTTCCTAACAGAGCACTTCGCTCTCAATCTGCAGGTTTACTAGTGGTTCCTAGAATTTCTAAAATTAGAATGGGAGGCAGACACCCTGTCTACTTTTAAAGGTAGGCTTAAAACTTCCTTTTTTGATAAAACTTATAGTTAGAGTGACTCAGGTTATCCTGAGCTATCTCTATAGTTATTCTGCTATAGGCTTAGACTACTGGAGGACCCTATTTGATCATTCTATCTCTATTCTCCCACTCTGCAGAATCTGTTAGTTCAATCTCTAACGTTCTGCTCTCTCTGCTTTTTCTCATAGTAGCTTCATATGGTCTGTTCCTGTTTGGCTGTGACTCCATCCTGGAGAGAAATATCAGCTGTGATGCTGCCATCAACACCTTTGTTTATAGATGTTGGAGCTTGGCCTGTTTTTCAGTGTAGTCCTGTTTCTCTGACTGCGACATACTGGATGTGCTCTCTTTTATCCTCTGACACACAGCTCGTTTGCTGTGTTTCCTGTGAAGCTTTACAGTTGCTATTTGTTTCTATGCTTATTTTTCTATGTCTGAATTGGTGCTATAGAAATAAACTGAATTTACATTTTTAATGGGAAGGGTGGGGAAAGTCACAGCAGCTCTATGATGCTTTATTTGTCATCATCCAGTTGGAGGAGCCTGAGAGGAAACCTACGCAGAAACGGGCACAACAAGCAGTCTCCACACAGAGAGGCTGAATCCAGGACAGGAACCTGGAAGCTTGTTGCTGTGAGGCCATCGAGTTAACCACTGCACCACAGTACCGCCAGGTCTGAGAGCCTCACAGAGAAAGCTTCCCGCTGGGCTCTAAAAACAGCAGCTTATCTCCAAAGGATTTGATAAAACACTTTCACCTTTTTGGACACGGATGGCTGAATGGTCTTGAAGGCATCCTCAAAGTTCTGTTTGGTGACCTTGATATCGGCTGTGGAGCCAGAGGGGTGGGTCTGACCTGCAGGCAGAGGAAAACAGCAGCAAAGGTAAAGTCCTTATCCTAACAACAAGCAGCTTTAAATATGGTTTAAACACAAAGTTCAAAAACTAAACAGTTTCCTGTTTAAACATCCTGTGTGTAGGATGGGAAAAAAACTTCAACCATCTGATGATATCAGAGAATCTGTCAGCAGCCGACCACATGAGGAAGTCACATTAAAAAACAATAAAACAGTTCCTTCTAAAAAGGTTAGCCTCTAACATGCTCTAAGACGACAGGAATAAAATGATCAGGAGGTTTAATGATCAGAGGGGGAGCAAGTTACCAGAAAGCTGGGACTTCATGAAGACCTTCAAGGCGTTTACAGACGCTTCCCTCACCAACGCCGTCAGGTCAGCTCCTCTGGAAGGAGAAACAAGGAGGGAGGGATATTAGCCAATGAGAATTTGAAACTCTTACAGAAAATAAAAACTGCAGGACACAATCTTTGGTTTTCAAACTAAAATATCTTAATGTTCAACACACTGCAGGACGAAGCTGTAATACTTTATTATTATACTGTAGGAAAAACGTATGAGTTTAATCCCAATCGTTAAGTTTACAACATCTAATAAAATCATTTATGTGCATTCTATAAAGCAATGCTCTACTTAACGAGTCTGTGCAGCATCTAGAGCCAGAACAGATAGAGAGTGTTTATATAATAAAAACATAATGAGATCTACGTCTAAAGAAACGAAAAACACAGCAGTAAACGCTGTGGGGCGGTTTCTATGCTGACTGAGGCAGAGAGGTGATTCTCAGAGAGAGATCTGCGAAGTTTATACTAGTTTTTCTTATACGTTTCTATAAACGCAATGTGCGACTCCAAACTGACTCTTTCCCTGTGAGATTAACAGATTTTGTTTTTTCCCCCAAAGCGGATGTGTTTTACTTTGTAACGCATCTCTCTTCCTGTCAGACCAATGAAATTGCTGCTGAATTTAAAATAGACCTGGGCTTTATCTCAGTCAGAGCTACGCTGCCATCTTGCATAAAATTGTCCAACACAATTTTCTGTCAGATCGGATGCAAAATCTGATTGGGTGCGTTCTGGCCTTAACTCACCTATATGCTTCTAATGAAGGCCAACAACTAAGCTAGCATCATACATTGAAAACATGGGGGATGGGCTCATTCAACCAAAGCCTGAATTTGCAGTAAACATAGTGTTCTGATCCGCTTCTAAAATGAAAGACTGGTTAGAAGTTGTTGGTGTTTTCAGCAGGGACTTACGAAAAGGAACTACAGCGTTCATCAAAGGCGATGTCCTCAAGGCGGACGTCCTGCTCCAGCTGAGGTCTGGTCCCACCCTGTAACACAGGTGGAGCATTAGACTGAGACACAGTGGGTGCAAAAAATAAAACCCCTAGGGAACCAAAGTCTGCCTGGAGAATCTGACCTAGACCTGGATGTTAGGAACCATCCAAGGATCTTATCTAGTTGAGAGTTTAAGCTACTTTACTGAAACCCAGTGTCTCTGGTAAATCCTCCCAGGTCGGACCTCAAACGGTTTCAGCACCACCTGGGTTTGAGTCATGAGCTCAAAGTTCTGTCACACTCAACTGGTTTACCTTCCTGTTTTCCTCTCATAATGACCAGAACCTCTTTAAGCCTCTTTCCCACTGAAATTATCGGGGTTAACACATGTTTTTCAAACATGGTCGACCCGCCGACAATCAGCTTCCTTCCAACTGGCTAATAAAGCTGGTCTAACCCCTTGCTGGCAGCTGCATGGCCTCCTTTCCCCTGCTGCTGCGTGTCTGGTGAAATCATCACGTAGGTTAGCGTTGATGATGTCAGCAGTGCAACAGAAATCAGGGAAGTAAACAATGGAGAGCAGTATGGAAGGAAGCCAGGACATAGTCAGTGTGCTTTATTGTTTCTCTCTATTATCTGACTGAATCCCTCTGGCAGATAACAGAAATAATAATCCCGCTGGTCCATGTTAATCCAATTATAACAGAGTTGTTTCTGCTTGGTAGATCAGAAGCGAGTGGCACGGTGTATTGACGTCCGTACCTTGCGTTCAATGGTATCATGAAATTTAGTGGGTCAACCCGGCTCTGGTGTTCCCACAGCATGGCGATCAGAGCGATCAGATTTTATCGCGGGTCGCTTGCTGAGTCGTTTGATCCGGGTAGACACGCATCAGTGAGCTGTTCCCACTGCCACTAAAAGCCCATTGTTCCAAAGTTTAAACAGGTTTTTCAGCCAGTGGGAAAGGGGTATTAGTCCTTTTCAGCCACACAGGAGCTGGAACTTAAAACGCTGCTTTCAACGAACAAGGAGCCAGTTCCCAGCTCTGTCAGTGCGTCAGATTTATTCAAACGGAGACGAAAGTCCACCGAAAATAAAAGCAGAGGAAGACTACGACCATGAGACAAGCAAAGCAGCCAATATGGACAAAGTTCTAGTAGCAAGGATGCTTCTTTTTGCCGTACAAGCATTTATGATTTTACCAGGTTAAAGTTGTGACATTAGCAACTATTCAGCAAAGTTATTGCAAACACTTGTAGAGTAGCGCTCCTCACGCTGTAGTTAAATCCACCGCCTCATGTACTTGCGCTCGGTATGCTCTCGTTTGGCCCGACAGAAAGGCGATGCTACTGTAGCACCAGTTTCTGGTTCCAGGATCTGGGTGGCTCTATCTTTCCCATGGAGTCCCTCAGGGCTCTGTTCTTTCACCTGTGCTGTTTGCATTTATATTCTCAGCAGTGTGGCATCAATAAAAACGTATGCTTCAATGTCATTGTCAGTAAATGTCAGACTTGTTCCCTGTTTTCAACTTTTAAATCCATGCAACAGATGTTTCATCTGTAGGAAAACAAGGTTAGAAGTCAGGAATACACGGTACAACTTTACAACAGGGACGAATCCCAAAGTTATGAGTTTTAGATTAATGCTCTATTGATGCAAAATTGTAATTTAGTAACTTGGAACATGTGGTGTCAGATGAATGTGCGAGTGACGACAAGCAACGAATACATATCTTACATTTATTCACACTGACTCACACTCACAACCCAGACACCTAAACCTATGTCTTTGTTGGCAGTTATCCTTTCTTATACCCATCTCCAATCCCTTAGTCATCTGCATAAAAGGAGATTTATTTACTGATTTTTAAAAATATTTTTATTATTGAGTGTGTATGCAGGCTGTGTGTGAGTCCTTAGCTGGTCTTTAATGTTTATAATGGCAGGTACTACTATGCACTACACACTTTGGAGTCCATAATAAATTTCCCTTAAGGGATAATAGTCTATTCTATTCTATTCTATTCTAGCCACATGTATAAGCTGATAGGAAAGACTGTAACAGCTCCCTGAGACCTCATATCGGGACGACAGTGGCGTCGGATGTAGGAGTTTGCCCTAAAATCGAAGGATTGACGGTTCTGGCTCCGACTTTCAGTGTCGTTGTGTCCTTGGGCAAGACACTTCACCTGCATTGTCTACTGATGGTGGGTCAGAGGGCCCGGTGGCGCCAGAGTATGGCAGCTCCGCTTCTGTCAGTGGGCCTCAGTGAGCCCCAGGGCAGCTGTGGCTACAATGCAGCTTGCCACCATCAGTGTGTGAGTGAATGTAGTGTAAAGCGCTTTGGTTAAGTCTGCTGACTTGAAAAAAGGTGCAACATAAGTACAGGCCATTTAATATCTTGGTGACAGCTCAGAAGTTCCTAAATCTTAAAACGTATATTCTAGTGTTTGGACTCAAGGACCTGCTGAACCACCTGGACCCACTGTTTGCTGAAGAATGGCAGCTCCTTGGTGTCAGTATCCATGCAGATATTATACTCCACAAACACATCAATGCTGTTGGTAAAGCCTACTCTGGCTGGGCTCAATACTCCACCAATCATGGAGCGAGAGGCGGGGCCATAATCCAACTGTGTTTTTCTGTAACCATAGCAGTGATTGCAGCTCCAACAGAGCAGTATTTTATTGATGCCCTTTATTACTCCCGAAAAGTTGAAATCTGCTAAAATTTCAACAATGGGCAGTTTTTGATCTCATCCATAATCATCTGATTGCTTCAAACCAGATGTGTCAAACGTACACACATACTGTAGTCTAAAAACACTCTGGTAAAAGTTGAAGCATCAACTTGACCTCTTTACTCAAGTAAAAGTGAAAAAGTATGTCTTACTTGACACCTCTGATTCTAACCTTTTTGACTCTGTTAGTCCTGCATTTCAAATGGGGCTCTTCTTCTCCTCTCCAGGCTGATATGCCGTCAACACCGTGTAAATTAGTCTGGCTGGCCAGGCTTGGTAAAAACAACTTTAATAAACTCTCTTTTATCCAAAGCAAAACTGCTTTTATCTTTTAAGAATTTGGATGACGCTTTTATTTCACCCTCCCCAGGCTACTGCCATACATCGTAAATTAAAACTAATTTATCGCCTTCAATTTTGGACTTGCTTCCTGTTCATGTTAGGATCCATATAACGATTTATTGTTTATCATTAAAGCTTTAAATAGAGTGGCTCCAGAAAATACGGCAGATCTAGTTACCTTAGTAACAGTCATCAGGATGGCATGGCGGTCTGCGGCACACGGCAGCCCAACATATAGGGTTTTATCCAGGCGCCCAGGCCTCAGGACGGCAGGATCAATGATGTCTGGAAAAAAAATAAACAAACTTAGATAAGTGAAGAGTCACGACATCATGATAAGCCGGGGGATCAGACGATAACATGTGAGTTGATAAGATTGTACAACATGTTAGGATTATAATCATTGGTGATGTGTGAGTTTATTACCCAATATTACCTGCCTGTTGTGAGTCAAAACTAATGTTCTCCCAAGAAGTTTATCTAATAAGGCCTGTTCCTCTGTCAGGATATACAGTTATCATCTTCATTATGGCAATTACAGTATTTGAAAATGGAATGAGAGCGGCTTCCTTCAGCTAAGAACAAAGTGTAATATTTTGATAAGGCTGGAGCCTTGGATGTCTAACCATCTGCTAAAATGTGACGATGCAATTATGCAATGATGTGGCAGAGGAGTTGTATAAAATATTATTCAGGGCCACTTCATGAGATGTTAACCCCGGTCGGTAAGTGCTGGTTTCTGTAACTCTAAGCAACTTCTCTGATCCAAGTAAGATTATAATTTCTGTCAGAATCTGTTGTCCTGTCTCCTGGTTATTTAATACATAAACATTATGAGGTGTTATTTAAAGAGTTTGTCCTGAGTGATCTCTTTTCAGGAAAATAACCAGAGAGAGAAAGCTTCAAGGTGGGAAAACAGAGCTTTCACTAACAAACATCAGGGATGGTTTGGGTCAAACAAACAGAGGGAAATTAAGCTTCCAGAGTAGCAACCGGTGGGAGAACCTCTCTAGACTGATGCTCCCAGTCCCACTGCCGCCTACCTGTCTATTGGTGCATCTAAACTCTCTGCATGTGAAGAAATTAAATCAAGCATGTTTTTTTGGAACACCAGTAGTTGTGTTTCCATTGACAACCAAATTGCACAAATAAAATACATTAATTTCCTAAACTGAGATGCATCCCTTTTTTGGTCAAATCAAAAGTGCGTTATTTGGAAAATCTGCAAAGGAAACGTTTTCACATAACAAGAGTCCGACGATCAACAACCAGATGATACTAGTGGCCAAACACACGGAGAAGGCTGCAGGAAGTAGCAGGAGGATGGTGGCATGCCATGTTGTTTTGGCTTTCTATTTTGATGGAAACACTGCAATGGCACGTTTTTTCGTGAGCTCATAAAAACCCTGTCTGCAAACAGGATTTGTGCATTCCCAAACACATGGAAACCCATCTAGTTCCCCTCCCACTTAAACCTGAAATGGGTTTCTTAATCAGGATTTGACTCTTAAATATTACAAAGAGCGGTGTAATTTTGCCAATCAGCTTAAAGGTTCTATTCATCGTCCTTCCTTTCTCCAATCAGATTAATGGAGCTAAGCTTAGATGAACCACAAACTTTAAACCAGAGTTCTACACGCAACCAATCTGGTTCTGAATATTCGATTTAAACTTTAGTAAACATCTGCTAGGGAAACAACTGAGAAAGTATGTGGAGTAATGTGATACGCAGTGTGTGTGTCGGGGTATGAAGTTTGTAGGGAGTCCAAGGGTTCTACTGTAGGGTTCTGCAGCAGCTTCCCAAGTTCTACTATCCTTGTTTATCTGGAGATGACATGTATTTACTATTTTAGATGCAGTCGAAAAGAGTGGTCAAAGAACAAGTTAACCTTCATCAGTGCAGACTGAACGCCTGCATGGTTTAACATGAGATCGTGTTACGCCATTCAGGCAATTTTGGAGCAGCTTTTTCAGTTGCTGCTCCAACATGGTGGCATGAGCTCCTTGTCCGCATTAGACAATCCTCTTCACTGTCTATTTTTAAAACTCGTCTTAAAACCTAATTTTATTCTTTGGCTTTTAACACAGCATTAGATTGTTGATGTTTTATTGTTCTTTTTTTAAATGGTTTTATTTGATTTTGTTTTATTATACTTGTTTTATTCCTTTAAACCTCTATCTTGTTTTTATCCAATTTTAACTTTACCTGATATGCACAGCACTTTCTGGCAGCTGTGGCTGTTTTAAAATGCTTTATAAATAAAGTTAAGTTAGGACTGGAGATAGCGAGCTGGTTCTGCAGCAGTGAGGTGCACGTGAAATATTGACAAAAACGGATGGTGTACCCGGCCTGTTGGTTGCAGCCATGATGAAGACCTGTTTTCGCGTCTCCAAGCCGTCCATCTCTGTCAGCAGCTGATTGACGACCCGCACACTGGCTCCTGACTGAAGACAAGCAGAAAACAAGTTAGAGATGTACGCTCAGATACCGGCTGGTCAAGCTGTGGGGATGATAATGTGTCTAACCTGACAGACAGGACAGAGGTTATCTCGTTCAGTCAAAAACATTTCAAACAGTTCAGTGTTTTTAGAGATTTGAAAGAAACCAGATAAAGCATCTACCGCCCTGCTGCCTGATAAGAGGGCGGAGGCAGCAGAACCGACGCGTGTTCCTCACCTCGTGGCCTGAACGGCGAGGACACAGGGCGTCAATCTCATCGAAGAAGATGACACAAGGAGCAGAGTTGCGTCCTCTCTGGAAGACCTGGCGGACGGCTCGCTCGCTCTCCCCCACATACTGCACACAGCAAAGATCCAGCTGTTAGCAACCACGTCAGAGACATGGTTGCTGACAGAGACATACAATGCTATTTAGAAAACAAATTCTTTTAGCATTTTTAAAAACCTCTGCTCAGAGCAATCCTATAAACCTCTATTCTACTAAAATAGAGGAACTGATCTTTCATCGTGATTCAGCTGCTCTAGACACTGCTGAACCTTTTGATGCTCATTGATGCGTGTCAGCCATTGACTTTGTTAAGCAGCTGCTTCTACTGCTTAATCGTGTGCAGTGTGAAGCATTAGTTCTGGGAAAAACGGAGAGAGAAGAACAGGGCAGGAACTCTAAGGTTCTTCACACACTGACCATGTTTAGCAGCTCTGGACCTTTGACGGAGATGAAGTTGAGGCCTGACTCATTTGCCACTGCCTGCAGGAGAGAGAAGAGGAGAACAAAGTGAGACCTTAAAGTCGTAGGGAAGCGGCTGTTCCAACCGTTGCATTTCCGAATTTCCCGAGTGGAGCACGACTTTACACGAGTGAATAAAGTGAATGTGAATGGTCGTTTATCAAGAGGGCGGGATTGTTGTGGCGTAAGGTTTGCAAGCATTTTGATTGTGGCTGGTTTCTCTGAAGCATCTTGCTAACCAGTTAGCAACTTAGTGCTAGCAGTTTCCCAATGGGAAATTCCATTGGGACCAAGAAGCACTAAATTGGTGACTTAGAAACAACACTGTCAAGGAACGCTATGGACAGAGGAAACATGCAAGAGGAGGAGAGTTTAGTGTCGGAGGTCGTGGATGAGTCTCCTCCGTCATCCATTTTTTATTTTAGAGGAGAAAAGCGGGGACGAAGATGTTGTGGAAGAGGACGCCAGGGCGGCAGAAGCTTGGTTTGGTGTAGAAGGCTTCCAGCCGTACATGTTTGAGCCCTTGCCTCGCAACGCTGCCAGTTCTGTTAGCTCTACGCCTGCTGAAGACACAGACGTCCATCCCCGTAAACACTGGGACGGAACTCAATGGGAAAGGAAATGATTCTTATTTTTTATTTAAAACGATGCATATACTCTGTGTGACTAAGGAAGTCCCTGCATGTTGCTTAGCTCCATCTCATGCTCACCTTAGCCAGCAGGGTCTTCCCACAGCCTGGAGGCCCGGCCAGCAGAACCCCAGATGGTGCGCTGAGCCCCAGGGCTCTGAACTGCTCCGGAGACCGGACAGGAGCCTGCAGGACACACAGCCGCCATGGGGACAGAAGATGTGTCAGACCCAGAGAGAACAGGTGGAGCAGATGGAATCTGGGAAAGGTGGCGTTTACCAGTATTGCCATGGTGAGCTCCTCCCTGATGTCCTGCAGAGCTCCTACGTTCTCCCAGGTCACGTCTGGTACTGTGGCAAAGCCCTCCCTCTTGGCTGAAGGCTGAACCCGGCCCAGAGCGTCCTGAAAGTCGGACATGAGGATGCAGAGTCCAGCCAGCTCCTGCTCCGACAGCGTGTCCGTGTTCTTCAATATGCCAAGGAGCTGCTGAAGTTCTCCCTCCTAAAATAAAGAACATCATCCCTCAGAGCAACCAGAGTCTGACCTAAAACATGCGGGCTGAACGGAGCCAAACGGACCTGCTCAGTTCTAACAACCTCATCAGTCACAGCCTCCATCTGCTCCGGACTTCCTGACGGTTGTTCAGGGCAGTCCGGCGGAGTCTGGGCCAATGGCCTGGTTTCCAGCAGAACCCGGTTCACGGCAGCCATAGCAGCTTCCCGGCACAGAGCCATGAGGTCCGCTCCCACGTAGCCTGGAGTGAGCCGGGCCAGCTGCTGGTAGTTGAAATCCGCGGGCAGTGTCAGCTTCCGACATAAGGTCCTCAAGATCCTGGCAAAGGAAACCCAGACGCTTTAATCATCCGCACGGTTAAACCAACCGGCAGCCAGATTCATTAACCAATAAGCTGAATAAAACTGAACCAAAGCAGCAGGTTGGCTGCCAGTCGCTCTGTCTTTCAGATTCTTACCTGAGCCGAGCGCCCTCATCGGGAATCCCCAGACAGATTTCTCTGTCAAACCGGCCGGCTCTGCGGAGGGCCGGATCCAGGGAGTCCGGCCTGTTGGTGGCGCCGATCACCAGTACCTGAGCAGTCACTGTGAGACTGTTCAAATCTAAAGAAACCCAGATGAAGAGACGTCACTGAGTTGCTACGGTGATATTCATCAAACTCTTAGAACTAGAACACAAACAATTGACTTAAAATTAATGTCAATTAGCTGTAAGATTAAAACCGGTTCCATCTGGATAACTGTTAATGTCCATCAAAAGGGAATTTCTTTCTGTGCTGGTGCCTATCTCCAGCTGTCTACAGGCGAGAGGCGGGGTCGACCCTGGACAGGTTGCCAGTCCATCACAGGGCAACACAGAGACAAACAACCATTCATGCACCCACTCACACCTAAAGAGAATTTAGAGAAGCCCTAACAGTCATGTTTTTGACTGTGGGAGGAAGCTGGAGTACCCAGAGAGAACCCACGCATGCTCAGGGAGAACATGCAAACTCCTTGCATAAAGATGCTGGGCCCGGAATCGAACCCAAAACCTTATAGCTGCAAGGCAGCAGTGCTACCCACTGCTGCCTTGCAACCTTTGCCTATCTGATTATTAATCAGAAAAATAATCAACAGATTAATAAATTTGCAAAATAATCCGTTAGTTGCAGCCTAAGATTAAACAAAGAGCTAAATCTGTTAGTGTCCACTTCATTAATGAAAGTGAAAAATAGTCTGACAGTATATCAGAGCGACATACCCAGTCTATTAATGATTGTTCTACATCTCTGTTCATTAAAAATTATAAATGTTTTACATATTTTATTCTTCTTTTTATTCCGTAACCTAAAAAGGTTCCTGTTTTGTTTTATCTTATAAATACGTTTAATAATGTGTAAGAAAATCTTTTTGGTTATTCAGTCAGGATTTAATATAGCTAGAACAATAAATTGTTATAATAATCCTTTTTTTTTAATATATTCAGCATTATGGAAACATTTTTTATCCCTTTATATTCTGGAAACATCTTCTTGATATAAGAGAAAACTGTTTTTTCAGAAAATGGCTGCTTATCACTGCATGAGGCTCCTCTCTAGAAGCACGTTCTAAAGACGCCTTCTCCTACCGTCCATGCAGGTCAGCAGCTGGGCCACGATCCTCCTCTCCATGTCTTTGGAAGCCACCTCTCTCTTAGGCGTGATGGCATCTATCTCATCGATGAACACAATGCATGGACTGGAGGTCTGCAGAGGAAGGGTCAGGGGTCACCGGTTTGACTCTCACCATTTCAGATCATGAACAGAAGAAGAAGCAGCGCTACCATAGCCAGCTCAAACAGCTCTCTGAGCTTCTGCTCCGACTCTCCTGACACCCCAGATACCAGCTCTGGAGCAGACACCTTCAGCATGGGGATCTGCAGCTCCTGAAACACAAACCCACAGCCTCTCATTCTCTGCTAAATGAACCCAGCTCCCAGACGGACACATCGCTTTTCTGCAGCCTGGCTCACCCCAGCCACAGCCTGGGCCAGCAGGGTCTTCCCACAGCCAGGAGGTCCGTGCAGCAGGAAGCCCCTGGGAGGAACCATCCCGAGGTGCTGGTAGACCTCTGGGTGGCGCATATGAACCAGCAGCTTGCACACCTCCTGCAGTAAAACATCAGACACAGAATTAAAGACCATGCCCTGCAGAAGGTCAGCAGAAGGTGAAGGCACTGACCGTTAGGATCTCCTCATTACCCCCGACATCCTCAAACCTCAGGTGGGGATACTGCAGCTCTGGGGACTTGGACTTTGCTTAAAAAAAAAAGAAATATAATCTTTAGATGCAACAAAACAAGTCTGATGTTTTGACCAAATATGCTCTGAACTATCAGCCTGGTGGGGAATGGGGGTGCTTTAGAAGTTAGGAGGCGAGAGAACATGCTGAACACCATCTAGGAGATGACCGTGAAGCTTTCAGCTACAGTAACCATAGAAACAAGGACCTCTAACTGGGCCCTCCAGGGACCCTTCAGCTTGGTGGTCCCTCAGTGCTGCCACCTGGTGTTCTTGGTTATGGGAGCAATACCGTTGCAAAATTATTTGCAAATATGTGTGGAGAGTTGTGTGTCTGTATCTAAATGTGTGTGTGCAGTGGGATTTGAAAATAAGTGAGGAGATTTGTCTCTCTGTACGAGTATCTGCAAATATGTAAAATAACTTGTGTGTAATATATTTGCAAATGTGTAAAAAGAATCCATAAATCTGTATTTAGTGATTAACAGTCCGAGCCTGCTTAGAAGTTTATCTGTTGCCTCTCTTTACACTCGTGATTTTTGCTACACTTCTGCCGTGTGAGATCGGCAAATACGTAGAGAGGATTCGTATGTGTAATATCCTGACTTGCTACCCTGAGCGCAGCCTCGCAGGCTTATTGCGGCAGTTTATCATAAAATCAGCTTTTCTGACCATCCGTAATTACTTCTAAGATATCAAAGAAAAAGTTTTGACTTGGAAAAAATTTATTTTGAACATCGTAAATGATACTTTAAGATATCTGATATTATATTATGACTAGTGAAAATAAAAATTCAAGATATCAATCAATCACATTTTGGAGAGTCAAAATGCCTTTAGAAATATCTTAAATGGCATCGCCTGATTCATCATTGAAAGTTTCACACATCTGGAATTATAATCAAGATATCTCATTGTTGAGTATGACTAGCCAAATCTAGATGCAGACAACACAACTGACGCATTTGCAATAATTCTGCAACAATATTGCTCCCATACTCTGTGACTAGTTTGAAAAAGTCTTGTGAAAAATACTGTGTTACAGGGTCAGCATAAAAACACAAAATACAGACCTAGATCCTTCTGCCTACAGACAACTTTGCATTAAACATATTAATAAAACCAGAACACGCCAACTGGCCCCCTCCTCCACAGGTTCAGGCTGCCTGTGGATCGGGTCCACACTGCTCAGTGAGGTATGCTCACCTTTCTTATTCTTGATCACTCCCTGGGAGTCTGCAGAATGGGCCGAGTTCTTTGACCTCTTCTTTGACCTCTTCGTCTCAGGCTCCAGTTGGGATGCACCTCTCTGTGTAGAAATTGAGACAGCAGAAGGTGAAGGAGTTTAACTGCTGCTCTCTGATCCCCAAGGTGTTCCAAACAGGTTCCTCCATACCAGCAGCTGCCGCTGCCAAAGGCCAAATCAACACTGATTGAGGATCTATTATTAATGAGCTTTATTTGTTCCAAAATGCAGGAATTGTTCAAAGTCAGGATTTTAGAGCCAATAAAAGAAAAAAACATCTGATGTCTCCTCGTCTGAACTTGACCTACCAAACACCCCGGGAGCTTTCAGTTCATTAGATCTTTGTTCTACCTGATCCATGGTGGTTTGTGGCGCTGCCAAAGGGTTAAAAAAACATACCAACTCCTAAGGATACCCGTCAGAGTAGCATCAGATTAAATCTGATTCCCATCTAGTTATTGTCAGGCTCACTGTGAGGGATCGCTGTAGACTCAATCTAATATCTACTGTCTCTAGCTGTTTTTTCAGAGAATCAATGACTGGATGCAATCAGCTGGTTTTACTTAGATAGAAAACTGAACCTTTAATCGTTCTGGAAGATCTGATTGAACTGGATCTAGAAAGTGATATCAGAAGACTGGAGCTAAAGAAATAAACTGAATGGAAATGAAAATACCATCAAGTTAGCATTACCACCTAATTACCATCAGGTTAGCATCGGGTTACCGCTGGGTTACCATCATGTTATTACTTGGTTTCCATCAGGTTACCATCAGGGTACAACCAGGCTACATGCTGCCCTCAGTTACTACGTACATTTGCTTCTGTGTCCACTGACTCGTCTTTCGAAAGGTCGATGAAGACGGGTCGTGTCGTGGGGCCTCTGCCTTTGTCAATGAACCAGCCTCCAGGGGAAACTACGGTGCCTTCATTTTGAGCTGGGTTGGTTCTGCCTGCTGCAGTAGGGCCCTTACGGTACAGGGCTGTAACTGAACTGTTGGGCTGTGGATAGAAACACAAAACATTAAATCTTCACTAAAATAGGACAAGATTTCTCCAGAAAAAAATTAAAAAAGGATGGTTGATTCTGATTCAGTCTGCGTTTGGTTATGGACTGATCCCCTTATATATTTCAGGATAGGACCAGATCTGTTTGTCTCACAAAGAGCCACAGGACATAGGTAAACTGAAAGTTAGCAGGTTGCACCACAAACAACCTTCAGTGTGGATGGTGCTGCTGAGGGAAGAAGACGCTGTCAGAGAGAGAGTCAGGAGATGCCAGGAGGGCTTATTCTGCTTCATCTTACAGGGATTTAAAAAAGTCAAACCTTATCAGTGCCTAACACTGACATTCTATAAAAATTACTCATAGAGATGATGCTAGCTGCTAATTGCTAAGATGCTAACCACAGTTTAAATTCTACTGCGCTCAAATCGGGTTGGATATGAAATATAGAATCCCTGGTTTCTGCTTTCTCACACGTGGTCCAACATCTCTCCTCCTCCAAATATGGATTAATGATCGGCAATGACTAGAAGGCGGGGCCTAAATCAGAGTTGTTTTAATGACTTCCTGGATCCGTTCAATATCAGTAGATTAAAGATTCAACGTGCAGAAATAGTGAAGGCCAGAGCCTCCGTGGTGAGAAA